GCACAAGGCTCTATTTTTGACCTTGACCTGTTTGTAATGTTATCAAAGACTTAGGCAGAGGTGTAGAAGGCTATCTCATCAAATCTGTGGATAACACAAATTTAACTTTGGAGGGCTTGACGGTACGATAGAGGTGAGAACCAAGACTTGGAATGTTCTTATGACTTGACATGCAGGGCAGAGACCAAGAAAAAGACATTTTACAGAAATGTCAAGACATGAGTTTGTGCTAAAAGAAATCAATTGCACATGTTTTTGCACGCTTCTTAGTAGTTCATGGGGAAAAAGAGCTGGGGTCAGTGTTGGTCTCAACTTATCAGACAGCAACATGGAGCACTGGCTGAAACATGAATGTGGCTCTGATCTATATGGGCAGAGGTGTGGCTTCCAAGTCAGGAAGGGAGTAGTCCCAAAGCAGGTGGGACAGGACAGTTGCTGACCAGGGAATAATATTCCAGTTTGGTGTAATTTTCTAAGGGCATGTTGAAAAAGGAAGTGCATCCAAATGGGAGACAACTAGCATGCTGAAGGCTTATGAATGATGGCTTGAAGGGGAAAAGCCCACCAGAAGACATTTTACCATCTTTGCATTTGAGGATCTGATGTCCTGAAGGGGAAGATTGCTTCCTCTTGTTGTTCTGGCAGCTTCAGATATTGTTAACCTTCTGTCAAAGATGGTGGCATCATAGGCCAGAAGGAGGCTGGGTTCCCGAGTCAGTTCTTAGACAAGAGGTGCTCAGAAAGAGTCACCCAACCTGCACCAGATTCTGGCATGAGCGTGAATCTTTTTGCTATATTTGCTATATTTGCAGGTTTATTTGTTATTGCAGCCTAAGTTAGCTTACTTTAACTAATTCATCTCTCTTAGTTCCATTCACTACATCAACACGATGGGGAGATAATAAGATCTTTCACGGGATTTTTGTGAGATTTAAATAAGATAATGACACTGCAACCCTAGTAAGATGTTTGCCTCCTACTACCTGGCCTTCCCTTCCCTTTCTTTTTCACTGGCTTCATTTGGAAAGTTCTACATGTTGAAGGGCTCTGTGGCTCTGTTCTCACCTCTTTTCTCTTTCTCAGGCGACCCAGCCAGGTCCTGTTGACTATATGCTGTTGACTCTGATCAAAGTCCTCTTTGGGCCTTATTAACTCTGCTGGTTACTCAGGTGGAGATGCTGAGTCTTCAGTCAGACATGAGTTTGGTGCTCAGGAGAAGGCTAAAGGATGAAGTTTTCCTCTTGATTCAGCTCCACCAGCCTTGCTCCTCACCAACCTCACTTTCTCAGTCCTTCCGCAGGATTAAGACCACTATAAATGGCACCACCATCCACCGAGTTATTCGGGCTAAAAACCTAATAATCACTTTTGAACTCACTAGGGCAGATGGACAATACCTTTCCAGGGAAGGTCTCTTGAGGGCGGTATTAGTGGCCAAAGAGACACATATAGAACAGTATGATTGGCTGATAACTTTCAAACATTGAGAAATATCATCTGGCATAAAATGTGAGGGTTGAAAAATGTGTATTTAAGGAGTAAAAGGCACAATGCCAAATTTCTGTGTGAAAAAAGAACTTGTTTTTGTATTTTTCTTGCAGCTGGTATTTGAGAGTCAAATAATTATGGTTCTTAGATTCCATTACATACATTTCGTAGTTTGCATACAGTTGTGTCTAGTTGTTTTCTATGTGTGCTTCTCTTTCAAAAGAGAATCACTGAACTGGCTCTGGAATGGATCTGTCTGGCAAGTCCTCTGTTCTCGATAGGAGGTTGATGGGGACCTGAGATGGAACCTTCCACTTGGTAGCATGTGAAGGGACACCAGGAAACTGTCACTGTAAGCCCGTTGCCTTCTCTCCTCTTTCCGTAAACACGAGTAGGAATACCAGCTAACTCCATTTCATCCCTTTTAAAATGTGTACAATTCACATTTCACCCCTTCCTCATTTTATCCCAGACAACGTTTTAGAAAGTTAATGTTTAAAATCGATTAGCTTCTTATACTTGTCTACAGCAAAGGTTGACTGCATGCATTTCAATGAACTTGAGTGGCCTTAAGCCTTTCCTTTTTTGTTTCAGGATTGCGTAATTATAGCAATTATTATTATTGCCCAATTACCTATTTCCTTGGTGCTGACAGAAAGATTAATCTAAATGGAAAGCCCTACAGAGTGGTGGTCTCTGCCGCCTCCCTGGCACATCTGACCTTCAGTTTCCAGTGAGGTCTAGAAGGTACCAGGGGCCTTCCAGGGAAGGGGCTTTCCCACAGGTGGGAGCGACATCTGAAAGAAGTTTGAAAGACATGTTCCGTGCTCACACATATTAAAGTTGATATTTAACGTCTTAAATTTAAATGCAAATAGTTGCTGAGGAAATCATTTCCAATGTATTTTTACTAGTGTGCAAAAGAAAGTTGTCCCCAAACTGTGTGTGGTTAAGGCTTTCTTGTCTGATGTAATTTACAACTCCTTCCATGAAGTAATTGATTCCTGAGAAAATGCTTTGGGAATTTCCAGTTAGACTTTCATGGGAGTAAGGGCTGCTGAGAAGTTTGGGTTCCCACCCAGCTACCTTAAACACGTCACTCAGCTTGCAGCCCTTCTCTTGTCCTGGGCCATCTCTGTTTTCTGTATGTGTTTCAAAAGAGAACTGCAGGATGGGTGGGTTGCTGGAAGCCTCTTCCCATGGGGACAGTTTGAAATAGAATTTTTATACATTCTAATAACAAGTTTGTCTGAGGAGTTATTTTGACAATTGACATTTTAAAATAAACTTGTTACATCACTTTTTAATAATACACAGTGGAATCTAAATACCACAATGAAGTGATACTCCACATTTTCTATATGAAAAGTGTTGGAATTTTCACCCCTGGAAAGCTTACATTTTTCCTTTTGGTCCTCTGGTACATAATTCAACCTTCCCTCCCTCCCCCATTTTATCCTAATATGATATTCTTTACAATTGAAGTTTAAAATTGATCAAACTGTTATAATTTTCTATAGCAAAAGTAAGTCTATGAATTTTTGAGACCGTAGGCTTGACTTTTCTGTTTCTGGGTCAGTTATCATGACTATTTTTTATTACTCAATTGGTTAAGATACACAAATATATTACAATTTTGACAAATATTAAGTATACAATCTAAATTTTATTAGAAACACACTGCTTCATGAGTAAATGGAGCTACTTCATTCTGCCCCACAAGAAGGCCAGATATCCGTAAATAGAGATTACGTATTGCCAGAGAGAGCTGGGGTTCCTTGGTGAGTCTGTTCATGTTTTTCACTGTTTTGGATGAACACTCTGACAGGCACTGTTCATATAGAAACTATATGGCAGTGGAAGGAGTTTTGTTATAGTGACATTCCTCAATTCTTTGCATTGGAAAACAATTTACAAAAGGATTTTCTTTCCAGTCATTAAAATCTACTATAGGCCCAGGATTTTAAATCATGCCTTTTGGTAACCCAAGGATTTTAACACTCTAGGGCTATGCCGTAGTGTACAGGTCAATTGACTCTCTGAAGAAAGAAGAAAAGATAAAGAACTCTGCTTGGTAACTTGTGCTCATTTCCATGGAGCGAATGCTTCTACCATGGCCAATTGCAAGCTGGCAACCTCACTTCACTGAGATGGACTTGGAAAGACAGGTGTGCAGAGGTGTCTCTACTGATCATGGTGAGGCCGTCTTGTGCACACTACCTCAGCACCTCACACTCAAGACTCAGAAAGGGTGAGCAGTGTACCTCTCCCTCCCTTTTAAGAATTGTGAGAAGCCTGGGCTACACCTGTAATTCTAGCACCCTGGGGGACAGATGTGGGTGGATTGCTCGAACTCAGGAGTTGGAGACCAACATGAGTAAGAGCAAGACCCTGTCTCTCTCTACAAAAACAAAAAAATAGAGAAACTAGCCAGGTCTCTCTTTCCTTCCTGTGGTCCTAGCTACTCGGGAGGCTGAGGCAAGAGCTTGAGCCCAAGATTCTGAGGTTGCTATGAGCTACAATGACACTGCGGCACTCAAGATGACAGAGTGAGATGTGTCAAAAAAAAAAAAAAAAGAGGTGTGACAGATGACTATGAAAGGGGAGGTGGGAGAGGAGAAGGGGTCTGATTTCAGAGGTGTTTTCAAGGAGATGAGTTTATGAAAAGTACCCAAGAGTGTTGAGAACATTAGTTCTTTTAAGCATCCTGGGGATAGGTAACTCTTGGTAAGGCTATGTGCCCAGGGTCCCATAGGTAGCAGTTTGTAGGCTACCAATTGAAAGGCTAGACCAGAGCCTTGGAGTGAGGCACACCAGGGCTCAACTCCTCTCTCTGTAACTTACAATGTTTGAGAACTTGGTTATGTTCTGATCCTCGATGTTCTCTCACAAAATAGGAGAAGCCAATATCTCCCTGCTAAGGTTTGAGAACAAATGGTCATAGGCCTACCGTGCTGTATCCGGCAAAGTTTCAATGGATAGATTTATTATCAGAGCCCTATCAATTGAGGGTAAGAGAAGAGACTTGGAGTGCTGAGGACTAAGGGATCAGAACAAACTAAGTGGGAAACATTGGGTCCCTTGCAACTTAGGACTTACTTGCTCCAAAGCAAGGTTATCTAAAAATGTTAACTTTAAAATTGAACTTTTAGCTGTTTCCCCCCTTTTCAGACAATCTTTCATCTTAGGGAACACAGAGGATGAGATCTCCAGTCTACAAGGAAGAAACAGCAACAGTGGCTCACTTAGGGAGTAGAACTCAAGACTGGTAGAACAGGCCATCTTAGACCTAACCAGGAGGGTTAGTTACCACGAAACAAAAGGGTCTCCTTCTAAGGTGGTTTCACCTGTAAGGCAAGTCCTTAGCCTGGTCCCGGAGGGCTTCATTAGAGTGGGGTTTGTGGTGGTTTTACTGGCTTGTTAAGAAGGCTTTTTCAAAGTCTTGTTTAATATGATGAATGGCAGGGAAAAATCATGTTAACACATTATAAACAATTCCAGAGCACAACTAATATCTCACACTGTACTTTATTTTTCTTCACAATATTAACTGGAAAGACAAGGAAAGTTTAAGGGGAATGTTGACTTTTTCCAACAACACAAAGTGCCATTATATTTAATTGTGGCCAAGTGGAGTCTTACTTTTCCTTAACTATGTAAAGTATGCTTACCATGTATTTGTGTGTGTAGCATTGCAAGATGTCAGCCACCCCTGAAATGTATCAATCTTAAACACAACCATGGAAGGTCAAAGTATGAAAATCTTGATAACAAAAGCTTTCCATACAAAAACACTTATTGTACATTTATTTTATTGAGAACAAAAATAACCCCAGTAACTCACAACAAAAGCAAATCTGGGTTGAAAACTTAAGAAGATATAATAAACACAACCACCAAAAGAAAGTTTTCCTCAAAGAACGTAATCTTCTATCACTCCTTCAAATGCTACCTTGGAGGGAAAAAACTTAATGAAACGAGCTATCTGGAGGGCCCACTACAGATTTTCCAAAAGGCTTAAGTGCATGGTGTTACTGAGGATCTACGCTGTAATCATATTTATTAACAGTCCAGGATTTTTCGATTAAGTTAGCCTTTCCACCTTCCACGAGTGCTTCAGCGCCGAGCGTGGTATGCAGAACAACCTTGTTACCGATAAGATGCTGGCTTTCAATTATTTTTCTGGTGTAGTCCAGACGAACTGGTGCAATACCGTTTATACTCCATGTGGTTTTCCTTGTGCCCAGGGAGATGTATATTTCATGGTTGTCCAAGGTCATGGTTGTCCAAAAACACGGAACAAAATGATTCATTGAGTAAAGGCTGAGGGACTTGTATTATCACTTAACCCAATTCAGTTTAAAATGGTTTCCTTTAATCTTACTTTATTAATTTCTTTTCTGTATTGTGCATAATAAGCATTTAGAAACAGATGTCCCTACCAACCAGAAGGTTGTCATTAAATATCCTGTTGGTTAAAATTGCAAATTTATTATTTAAATACCTGTGAGATGTATCCTGTCTGAAATGTATACACCACTGCACTGCCAAACTCCATTGTACTTTGGGCTGTGCTGGTCTCTGGAATCTAAATGTTTTACCACAGAATTTCAAATGTTTCTCATTTGACCCTCCTTAAAGTATCTCACATCCTACAAGTCTGGCTATTCTGAAAACCTCCACTCCTGATCCAAACTTGACAATGTTTTACTTACTTAAAAATTCTTCCTTCCTCCCACCCCTGCAACAAATGTCCTTTGTGCCATAATAATTAAAAAGAAAATCCCTGAAAGATCCAAACTGAGTAACAATAAAGATCTGATTGGAACCTTCATAAGCCTTGACAATGTAGAATTGTATTTTTTAAAAAGTGTGTAACCACATTTGTTTGGGCTGCAAAAGACACCACAGAATAAGATCAGAATAGAATTTCAACTGACTCCCTAATTTCCTTAGGATGGTTTATATTTCAAGCCCTTCCTGTTTTTCTCTGATAGAGTAGGTGTACATTACTAACCATAAGTGATAAGAAAGTATAAAAACAACCATTGCCTTAAAAGTACAATTGGAATTAGTTTAAGTTTCCATTTATAAATGATTCGTTTTTAGGATAAGTTTAACCATAAATGTAGACTATTTGCAATTTTGTTCATTCAATAGATTCTTGATGTGAAATCTAGACATGTGTTGGGATTGCCCTAATGACTGACATTTAATCTTAATTATTATAACTGCTATTGATTTATAATCACTCCCTAATTTTTCCCTCTGGGCCAGAACTAAGTCTTTAGATGGTAAGCAGTAAGTATTCACTAAAGAAATCCAAGGCATTTGTATCATAGAAAAGTGAGCTGCATCAATGTTGGTTTTTTGTTTGAACTAAATCAAGGTGCTTCCTTAATTCCAAACGTGGCTTTTATCCAAAACTGAAGACTACAAAAATTCTCAGCCCCTGAAAATCTTCTGGGATGACTGTTTTCTGTAGAACATGGCAGGTCCTGTTTTGGTCTCTCCTTTAGAGGACTTGCACAGCAAGGGTGTGGGAGGAAGGAGGGAGTTCTTAGATTCTCTTCTCCTTGGGGCTCTTTTTAGAAACCTGACCCAAATTCTCTTTAACTCTGACCCTGCCCAACATAGAGAGGCATGTGTACAGAGGACTTGCTTTTCATTCATCAAAAGGAGGAATTCAGGTGTGAATCCCTTCTCAGCACAAAATATGGATGGCTGTCTATCGCTCAATCGCAAAATAATGAAAAAAAGGAGGAAAAAAATGACTAGTTGAGGTTTTTATATACATTAATTGCTTCTAATAAGTTTTTAACAGTAAGAAAAATGCAACATTAACTACTCTTAAAGTGAGTGCAGCCACAATACTGTACAGTTCTAGAATCAAGCGGCCAGTCCATTAAAATCATGTAACAAAACCCCACAGTCAAAAAAAACCAGCCAAAAGTTAGCCCCCCTGTAACTTTTTTTATATATACATTTTTCAAATACTCTGTGACTCCCATTTGAACAACAACAACAACAACAACAAAAGACAAACAAGCTTTATATTAAAAATGTCCATGTTCTTCATTGTAACTTCTAAAGCAGCTTGGAGGATCTTGCCACTTGGAGTGTACTGCAAACCAACTCCATTAAAATGATCTTGGCAGGATAGCAGCACAGGATTTGATATTCCATATTCATCACTTTGACAATGTAAACCTTTTATAAAATAATATTTGCTTAAAAATTAGAATCATTCAAAGGTCTGATCATTTTGTTCCCTGAGGCCCGCCAGGGAGGTCTGGCTTCCTACCACAGGTTTCCTGCTTTTTTGGTGGAGCTAATTGCCACTGCATTTCAGGAAGGCCCTGAAGGACAGCCATGAAGAAGGCCCCTGCGGAAGGAGGGCAGAAGGGCTCTAGTTGGGTCTGTGCTGATTTCAGGCCACATAAAGCAACTTTCTAAAGGTCAAAACCACCACAGCCAGATTTTAATCTTCTGGTCATTTCCCATCTGGATTTTCAACTGAATGAACCTCATGGGTTTAACCAAACATGCATGTAATCCTAAGTAACATGAGTTAAATGCTGAATTGCCCAGGGACAAGTAAACCTTTAAGAAACAAGGTCAAAGGGACAACAGATATATCCATCACAATAAGCAATTCTGTTGACATGGAAATACACATAACTTGGTTAAAACAAAGCTCCTCAGTGGCCAATGAAATCCAAGGTTTCTCAGGTAGCTGAAATTCAGGGCTTATCTCACCTTCTCAGAAATGCTTTTGAAGAATCAAGAGACAAAAATCTCAAATGGAAAATGATCATATTTTTGCCAACAAATAGTGTAGAGGCTATTAACTAAATACATAACAAAAAAGACGCTGAGATGCATGTAGTTCTTTTAAAGCAGCTTTCAAAATATCAACCACAGCATTAAACATTGAATATAGTACATTCCAGAGTTAATACGGATAAATGGTATATAATGTGATAATGCCACAAAGTTATTCCACAAATGTCTCAAGGCTGATTCTAAACTTGCAAAAATACTTTCTAGTTTATTAGCTCAAGATTTCACTTCTTTTGCTACTTGTCTATAGTTTTCCACCATTCATTTATTTATTTGCTTTTACTTTTATTTTTTAATGCCCCAGGACATACAATCACCACATTCCACACCTGGCACTCTTTTTTTTTTTTTTTTTTTTTCTGTCAGGTTTTTGAATAAAACCAAACTACAATGACAAGATAATGTTTTACATGTAATCCCATAGCTACAGGTCAATCAATCCATGACACCTCATTTCAATGCTTCCTTCAGGGTTTATGACCCTCCCCAAAGTCATTACAGCCTTGCTGTAAGCCGCACAGGTGGCCAGCCGGCTACTTGCCAGTGCGCATGTGCGTGGCCATTTCAAAATGGCCGCGACCACATGTCCTTTCCCGTGTTTCCTTAACACGGTGGCTTCCTGGCCTTCCCAATGCCCCTCTGCGAGGAAAGGCACAGCACCTCTGCTCCTTCCCTCCACAATGGTACATGTCTTAAGAAGAGCCGTGGCTTCCAGGTTCCACGTGAGGCCGGGCCTCCCTGGAGGGCCCCGGGGAAGCCGGCCCAGGCCCTCTATTGCTCTTTCTTGGCGTGGAATTCTGAGCTCCGTCAGCTTCCAGACATTCAGAGACCACTCTGCTCTGTTTAAAGCCCTGGGGGAGGGCAGCGAGTGCCCAGGCCAGTTTCCAGGACCTGTGAGCTGGGACACAGGCAGGTTCTGCAGACCTGGGTCTCTGACAGCAGGCACTTATGGCGGCCCGATGCTCTGGGTAACTGTAGCCTTTCTGATGTCCAAGAAGTCACCGAAATGCTCCCTTCCTCAAGTTCCCCAGGATTGTTTCCTACTCAGACAGAGCCAGTATTGAGGGGAGGAGACAGGGGAGTGTTGGCATATCCAAAATATATATGATTATATACAACCAGGGCTTAAGGTACTGGATGATACTGTATAAATTGCTAAAATGCTTTCCGGCACAATTGGTAGCTTAAAAAAATACTTTTCCTATGGTTTAAGGGCATTTTTCCCATCTCTGTCCTTCCGCGTGGAAATCCTGGAGGGTACCGCATCCATTTGAAATTCCCAACTTTTTTCCTCCAACTAAGTATGTACCACATGAGTTATATGCAGAGAGTCTGTTCTTCAGGCCCAGAAAGAATGGGCTTCCCCCAGCACCCTCCCTTTATTAACATCACAGCCCCAGGGCAAGGAAATCCAGTAAAATGAACACCTTCTCCCCGCCTTCCCCTACAGTCAGGTCTTTGTCCCTGTGTTTGCTCTTCAGATGCCGAGCTAGTCCAGCCAACAACATGGAAAACAAATCTGTATTTATCCACACAGGACACCCAGGCGGAGCCACCCAAAGTGGTGCTTGGCAATTCGTGGTAGGGCTTCCAAAGACAGGAGTTTCGATGGGACTGTCTTAAATAAATATATCTTTTTTCTTAATAATGTAAAAAATAAATGATATTTCCCTTTGGCAGTAAGTAGCTGATTCGACATTTTGTCTGGAAGCTGTTTTGTGTGTGTATGTGTATGTGTTGGTTTTTGTTTTATTTTTTAAAGAGAGCACAGCTTCATTCATGGTACGTCACTAACAATGCATATTATTTCTACTGCTTTAGTGAACCTTTTGCATATCGGTCTGTGGCAGGCCTGTTGACTTCACTTGTGGCCCAGGTAGGCACCCAGGGTGATGCAAGCTCCCACCAGGGCCAGGCTGAGCAGGGTCTTCAGAGACAGCCAGGAGAAGTCAAACAGAGGCCGCATGCTGGGGCCATACAATTCCACAAAGGCGTCCTGCAGTGGGGGAGAGAAGAGAAGAAAAAGAGTGTTAGAGAGAGGGCACAGAGGGGCACCCCACAGCCTGCCAGGCTCCCGCCAGAGCAGCCTGGGCACCTTCAGAAGGGCAAGAAGCGAAAAGGAAAATGCTCTTTCAAGGGCATGATTCAGAAACCACTTCTTTCATTCATTCACAAGAAATATTTATTGAGAACCCATTTACTTGCTAGGCACCTTAGAGATACCACAGCACATAAAATAGACTAAAAGTTCCTGCCTTTTATCTAGTGGAGCACTACAGGCAGCAAACAAAATAAATATTTAGCGTATTAGAGAGTGATAAGTGCTGAGAAGAAAAAACAGCAAAGGCAGTAAGAAAATACTGGAGGTTTTGCGGTTTTAGCTAGCAGAACAAAGTGCAGCAATGATGGTGACTATCACGCCTCTCTTGAGTGCTCACTGTACTCCAGGCACTGTACCAAAGGCCTCACACACATTATTTTACTGACCTTTCCTACCAATCATAAGAAGTCATTTTATTCCTGTTCTGAACATGAAAAAAGACTCAGAGAGGTTAAGGGACTTGCCTAGTAAATGGCAGAGCCAGCTTTGGACTCAGATCCAAACCAGCCCCTTCACATTGATGATGCCCTGGTGTGGCTAAAGACAGCTCTGTGAGTGTGTAGCCGGGAGGGTGCTAGTTGGTGGACCAAGAAGGGCCAGCTCCCTGGCCTCTGAGGTCGAGAGGACCAAAAGGCAACTGTTGTTGGGTTTCTTTCGGGGGTGGCAACATTGCAAGCCCACCACTCTGCATTTAACTCAAGCTGTGGAATGCACAGCACAGGCCCTGTGAGGTGTCCCTGGACTCACAGGTCCCCGAGGGAACACAAGGGCTTAGGTTTTCAGTTCCTGTCACTGCATCTGAAGTCGGGGATGTGGGGTCTTGCAGCAAAGTTCAACCTCTGGATTGTATTCTAGCGCACAAATCATTGAAGGCTGATTTTCTAGATTTGGGACAGTTAACGCTTCACATTTGGGCCTAATGAGTATTTGGATAAACTCCCTGCATGAATATTTGAATACATAAATCAGTAAATGGATTCTATTCACTTGCTTTGATTCATTCAGGTATGAAGAGGAAGACAAGGCATAGTTCCAGATTATTCTCTACAACTCTGAATCAAAACTCATGATTTTATTACAGGAAACAGTAACAAACCGCGACTCTGAGCACTGCTGTGAGGACGAGGCTCTCACAACCTTCAGAGTGACTTCTGTGTACCTGGGACAGTTTTGGTGCAGATGGCAAGATAGCTGTGCATAGTCTTGGTATTATGTAGGTAGCTTACCAAATGCTCAATGATTGATTACAGTTTTCTGAATTCAATCATTGGTTTGAATTTTGTCTTTGACCTAACACTTCAGATGCTTGTTAATCTGTTTGTTTGAAATTATTCCTTCTTTTTATAGCACTTTCTTGGAATCCTGGAGAAGTCTTAAAGTGAGGGTTTAAGGCATTGTTAAGGGAACTTCCCACATTATTAAATATAGATTTATACAGTTATTTTTCCTATGCATAGTAGTGTATCATATATATGTCATACTTTATTTAACCAATTCCTTAATTTAGGGTGTTAAAAATATCACAGTTATAAACAGTATCATGAGGTGTCTTTGTACATACATTCTTATCGATTTGTTCAGTTGTTTTCTTGAAATAAATTCCTAGAAGTGAACTCAGTCATCAAAATTGCTTTTGGTAATGATAAAAGACCTGCTTGAGTCATCCTCACTCTCAGCTGGTCTGCCCTGTGACCAATGGCACTGTTTATAAAAGGCAGGCAGGAGGTTAGATGGTCTACACTGGGGAGGGGGAATCTGGCCCCCCCCACAGGACATTTGGAAACATCTTTGGTAGTCATGATGTGGGGGGAGGGTCCTACTGGCATCTATCAGCCTCCAACACAAAGAATTATCCAGCCCCCAAATGCCAACGGGGCAGAGGCTGAGAAACCCTAGTTTAAAAGCTACTCTGTGACCCAGGATGACCGAAGAACAAGTGATGCTCCTTGTGTGTCACGAAGACTGGTCAGATTAGCACTGATTGATTAGCTCAGAGAAGTAACTTTGGGCCCACAAGCGGGTACTTTGTGTCTTTAGAGGTACCAGATTAACCAAGGTCCTCAGAGGTACCAAGGTTAACTTTTAGCAGGAGGAGATGTCAGGGCTTTCTTCTTTTTTAATATCTATTAACATTTTTTAAATTTGAGTTTCAGGAAAGCGAGGTTGTGGACATGAATGAAGTCTGTGTTCACTGCTCTTAGACCAAGCTGAAGTGCAGTCACGATTGTCCAGAAACACCTGCAGGGCTTCTTCCCACATGGGGGAAACTCTTTCCTCTAAACACAGCCTGTGGGGCGGGGTCCCACGGACACAGTCCCAAATGTCGAGCAGTACCCCCTTCCGTACTTATCTCTCTGAGGGACAGGCAGGCCAGACCCCCCATCAGCCCACCCAAAGGACACCCTGAATTCTTCAGAGCACTGGGTTGTCTGTAATTTAGCTGGACGTTGAGAGGGTCGGGACTGGGCCTTGAGTTCCCAGTCACCAACAGAGTTTTCTGTGGTAAAATCTAGAATGGATGAAGCTCCTGGCCCATTCTGCACCTGGACCATCCGGGAAATTGCAGGAGTCAGGACGAACTCCAGTTGGTTATTTCCTCCCAGTTCCCCGGGCCCACAGGATTGGGGACAGAAGAAAGGCCTTCCCAAATATCCTACCCCTCACTCAAGGAACGGTGCCTCTAACGGGCCTAACAGGACATCTCTGATGTGCTTTCTAAAGAAAAACGTCATTTCCAGAGTGAGATGACTTGAATTAGCATCTCTCGATCCAGAGCGTGAGCCCGAGGTGGGGTAGCCGTCAGTCCCAGGGGTCTGGGGAGGGCGCAGGACTTGGAGAATTCTGGGTGAAGCCAGGCTCTGACATTTTACTAATTTACAACCTTAAGCATACAGGTACTATCCAACCCTGAGCCTCATTTACTTCACCCAGCGCCATAAAATCGGTTGTTGGGAAGATTAGCGTAGGTCACTCAAGCCATTTGTAAATCTGATACAGAATGTGGCCTAGTGGGAACACGGAGGCCTCGCTCTCAAGTCTGCAGAGCTGCTCAATCCCCTTCCCCTCCAGGGGCCCCACCCAGCCTGATATTTCACAGAAGCGATTTCCTAGTTCCCTCTAGGCTTTTGGTTATGAAGATGGTCAGCACTTTCCACAGAAATTATGAATTAAAATGTACATGATAGTGTTCTGGTTAAGGATGGGAAGTGACACCACGATGCCCATCCACACATGGACTAAATCATCAGTCAGGTTGTAGGACTGGGGTGAATCTCGAGATAGAATCTGGCCCCTACACTTTGCCCTTCTGTGATTCCAAAGTGCAAAGGAGACTCCTTGGCTTCAGGACAGAAAGTCCAAAAAGCCATGTTCAGAGAATCTTCTCGCTTTTTGAAACATCCTGATTAGGGAGATTTTCAAAGTCTGCTTGGACAGTCTGTCATTATTTGTTTAAGTCTGAAAGCTGTTTTAAATAAAGGCATGCTCATTTTATGTATTAAAGGCAACCGAGAGGGAGAAAGAAAACTTGGGTCGTCACATGTGATGGGACAAAATCCCAGTCAATATATTTAGGAGGCTTCACATCCCTGCTCATGTCAGGGCCAGCAAGGGCTTACCCGAGTCTGTAACCGGTGGGCTTCTGGTACCCTCTGTGGGCCCCTCACTTTGGGGAGGTGGCCAGCAGGGCCCCAACACTGGCTGCCCTATTCCCCAGCAGTCTCTCCACAGACTTCACATTCAGAGGCCACAGAGGCTCTGAGTCCCACCCAGGACTGGATGGCCAAATTCCCAGCCCCAGCTTTCCCTCTGTGGCAGGGCTGGAAGCAAGCCAGGAAGGGGTGGGCAGAACCAATCTGCATCCGGACTCCCAAACAGCAGAAATGTCCTCACCCTGCCTTCCCCGCTGCCAGGATGTGGGACCATTCTTACAGGCACCCGCCTCGCCCCCTTGGAGGCAGGGAGACCTCCAAAATTCTCTTTTCCCCCTTTAGAACCCTTCAAGAAGTTGCATTTAAGCCTGATTCTAAATAAAATGAGATCAGAAAAACAAACCAGTTAGATGGTCAAAAACAGAATTGGAGATCAATACTGAGTGCTGAAAAGGATGAGGTGGGATGGGGCTGGGTGCTCACACCCAGGCAGAGGGGAGTGTGGAGACCTTGGGCATCGGGGAATACATATCCAAAGGCTTAAACATATGTCCTTTGGCTGGTAATTCTACTAATTATTTATTCTGAATGCATAGGCTTATCATAATAGCATAAACCTAGAAATAACTGAAATGTCTGAAAATATGATTGACTAAGGGACTTATAGCACATTCATCCCAAGGAATGTTGTTTATCCACTGAAAGTCTTACCCTATATTCATTTATCAGCAAGGAAAGTTGTTCCTAACATCGTATTAAGTGAGGCAGGACAAAACACTAAGCAAAACAATTTCGTTTTTGTAAATACTTAATATATAAATGTTGTATACTTTATACATATATATATATATATATATATGCAGGTGTATACACATGGAAAAACAGAATGTAAGAAAAGACACCAAGATGTTTCCAGTGACCCCAGCGGACCCAGGCCTAGATGGGTTGTCAGGAGCTCTGCCCTGCTAAACCAGTATCTGCAAGAAGAGCTTCAGGCCCCTGATTTCAACCAGCGAAATTTAATATGGCTCTGCCTGCTACAGATAAGTAAGAAATTCAGCTACGACCGACAGTCTTCCAGCTGCCTGTGCACACAGGCCTTATATCATCAGTGCGGGAACCTAAGGGGGAAAAGCCACCCCTGCCTTCAAAGAGCGTACCAGCCACACAGAGGCAGGCCTGCACCAGACTGAGTCTGGGCATCATTTGAGGGTCCCGTCAGCCATAAAGAGACAGTGAAAAGAAGACCAGACGAGGCCAACGGGAACGCCAACACTGCTGCCAGACTCTGCCATATTTTATGTTTTTCATGGCTTGTAGTTTTGTCTCCTTGGGATCTCCTCTCTCCTGACAATCTTAGGGTTAGGGAAGAAAAAGACAAGAAAAAGTGAATCCAAGTAACAGAAAACTTTGAGCTGGAAGAACCTTATCGTTTGTGCTGCTTTCCTGCCTTGGGGTAATGATGCCTAATAAGGAGCAGATCTGTGGTGAACGGGGAGGGTGGACCCTGGGCTTCGCTCGCTCTTGAGCTGCCTGGGTTAGGACGCTGGCCAGTCCCTAGTTCTGGTCTCCTGTGGGAGCCTCCTCCCCCTCTGTCACTTGCTCTCTCCCTCTCTAACTTCTTCTCTTTCCCAACCTTCATTCCATCCCACAGCCAGCCTCATCTGGGTTTCCAAGAGTTTCTGGAAAGTCACCCAACCACGCAGACGGGTGCTGCTCTAAATTTACAGCCTCCAGACTCACTGAGTTCTAGAACTCACTTCACCTTTCCTACCCTTGGTCAGATCTTTTCTCTGGTCCCTTTGATGACTGTCCTGAACAACCACCACTTTTCGCCTGTGTCTTACCTTGGTGGCAGCTTGAAGCCACCCATTTCTTCTTTGAGAAAATTGGGCCACTGGGCAAGAATTATTACAGCTTCCTCTGCTGGCCCACCCACGAACTTCCATCCCTACCTGTCCTTCCCTGCTCCTCTCCACCCTGCATCCTGATTCTACCACTTCTCTTTGCTTCTGGAAACTTCCTTTAGCAACTGTCCTTGCTCTTTTTGCTTCTGGAACCTTCCTCTAGCAATTGTCCCTGCTCTCAACCACAGCTTCAACCTCATTCTTCCGTCTGCCTCAGATTTCCTCCAAATGTCTGTGCTGGTGAGTGTTCTGACCTAACCTTCAGCTTCTCACTCTTCCCCTCCTGGACAAGCTTCTGACCATGCTCATCAGCTCACATCCCATGCACGCAGCCTGGCTTCTTTTTCTATTGTGCCTCTGAACCCACCCCCACAGAGACCACCAGTAGCCCCTATGTGCCTAAATTCACCAGATGCTCTCCAGATTGTGTCTGACTAGGTACCAGGATGCCCCGGACACCAAGACCAGGGAGAGTCTCCTGACTCTGCCTCCTCCGGCTGCCTCCTGCCTCCTGAAGGATTTCTGCTGTGTCCCCTTCGAGGGCACCTCCTCCTCTGCCTATCCTCATATGTACTCGATGCCCCCCCATCCCTCGGCTTCTGTCAGGATCATCTTTTCTCTCTTTGGCCAACCTCTTTTCCTCTCCTAGTCACCAATATCCCTGTGATGAGGTCTCTAAAATCTTTATATCCAGTCCCCTTTCTCCTCTAAGTGCTAGATTCCTATTCCACTTATTTTCTAAGATGTCCCCAGGGAATTATGACCAACCTGCCCCAGACTGGAGCTGTCATCACTCTATGCACCAAGCCTGCCTCTCTTCCTGCCTTCCTTGTGCCCATGCTACTAAGCAAACCTACACCCTGCAACTCTCCTAGAGGTTTTCCTCTTCCTCATCCCCCACATTCATTCATCAGCCAATCCCATTTTGTCAGGTCGGGTTCCCCCCAGAAGCTGACCCTTAAAGAGTTGAGTGCAGGCAGTGTAATGGGGAGATGATGCCAGAAACTACATGGAATGGGTCAGAGAGAAAAGAGTCACACGGGAATTGCCTTATCATGCAAGTTATTCTTACTGGCGAGTGGATTTTATCCTGCTGGGGAAACCTGAGGGCCAGCGTAGAACATGCACCTCTTATTGTCCCATTGAGGGCCTAGGGAGCTGGGGTATAACCTCCAGCCAATGAATGGCAGGAGCTAGGTTATAAAGACCATTCATTGGCTGGAGGTTGCTCTGATGGAGGCTCCATACCCAGCCCTTCCAGCAGGTGACACACACACAGGTGGAGTGGGCTCTAAGGGTCAGAGGAAGCCCTTAGGGAAAGAGATGCAGATGTTTTAGCTCCTGTAGCTCTGGAGGAGAAGCTAGTGAGCACTGAAGTAAGGGTGAGGGGACAAGACCCAATTTTGCCACCTAAACATTTCTCTCTCCTGATTATTTTCTCTCTTGAGGATTTCCAACTTCATCTCTCTCTCTGCTCTTAAATCTCTTCTTTGTGTTACAGCTAGAGTGATCTTTTCAGAGTCAAATCTCTGTTGCAAGCTTAAGTCCAAAGCTTCCCAGTGCTCTGGCCCCAACCTAGTTCTGCTCAGCATCTGTCACTTTAAGTCAACTCTGGTTCCTTCTGAGACCCATGCAATCATTTTCTGCAGGCAACTTTCTCCAAACCCCCAGGATGGGTTTAATAATCCTCGGTTGTTCCCTGTTCACGGTAGAAGATCATCTGTTTACATGCCTGTCTTTCCCATGCAAGTCTTAGCACCTGGAGGTGCAGGACCATGTTTTATTTATCTTCAGATCCCTGGAGCATGTGTCTGTCATATATTAAACGCTGAGCAAATGTTTGCAGAACCGAAATAAACTGATTTCTTTTACTACATAGCAGGTTTTTCAAACATATTCTAATAGGTGATATATTTTTAAAGGGAAGTATTTAGAGGCCAAATAAATGAGTAGCCTAAACAAAATTCAATGTCTTTTTTTTTTTTTTTTTGGCAGTAGCCCCTGGTGTCTCTGATCCAGACACTTACCTGGAGCCAGAACACTAGGGCACTCTTTTCTCTCTGACCCATTCCAGGTAGTGCCCTCACCAGCCTGGGACCTGCCTGCTCAGCGTCCATGCCATACTGCTTACAAAATACTGTGTGTGTCATCTTGCTCATAGATGCTGTACTTCTCCAGGAGAAGGTGAGCTAAGCAGCAGGCTCCAAACTCACTTGGCCACTCGGGCCTCAGTCAGGTAGGCTCCTGCTGTGTTATGAATGTTACAAAGCCACCTCTTGACAAATGCCACCTGGAGGTAAAAGAACAATAATCTGGGGCATTTGGCAACAGGGGCAGTGTTGGTGCTGCTTGTACAGGGCAGGCGAGATGACCAAAGGTCAAATGTTGTTTCTGGACATGTATGCAAACGTGGGTCCTGGGCCTGGACACGGCTGGGGCCCCATAGTCTGCAGACATGCGGCTGGCTGGAGAGGGAGAAGGGAAGGAAGGCGGTGAAGGAGGAAGGGAGAGAGACAGACACACACTAGCAGGGACGAGAGCTGTCCATGAGGCTAAGGAAGCCGCGACTCTCCTGTCACCAGGCTCGGCAGGAGCAGAAGGGAAACAGCAAGCCGGCTGCTGGGAGTGGTGGCCAGCGCAGCACACGCGAGGAAGTGAGGCCTTTTTTCTACCTGAATAAAGCAGCTGCTGAGGAAGTGACTCCATTTCCCCCTTATCATTGGCTCAGCAGGATTTCCTCCGCAGCCACAGGGTGCTGAGTGAGTCCAGAGGGCGCGTCTGCGGAGCAGAGGGCTCTGGCAGTGCTGCGGGCTTCTGTCCCCTGCGACTCCTCCCTCACCCTCCCTTTATTCCCAAAATATTAATTCCGGGTTTGAGGGAAAAGGAAAAAGAAAAAAAAATAATGCCCCTCGAGCATAGAACCGAAGGACACACAGCTGCCTGGCCTGGAGATTGTGAAGAGCCACACAGGAGCATGAGAAGAGCAAGGAACCGGCTCTCCAGCACCCTAAAGCCACCTTCAGTGAATGGGGGTTGTTCCCCGAGGAACTTCAGACGGGGAAGGGGCTGGATGGATCGCCAGCCAACAGCATACACTGAAACCTGATCTAAGCGTTATTTGGTTGTAACTAGAAACCTGCTAGAAAAATGGCATGAGATGAAAAACCCAAACAAAACCCAAACAAAACTAGCCTGCCTACCAGAGTTGGTCCAGGGAAGTTTTGGCATTTTGTTATGCAAATTTAGCTAAGGATGCAAATTAGGCAGAGGCTCTCAGGAGCTTGGGAGGCTGAAAAATGAGAAGCCCCAATAGCTGCTTCCTTTCTGAGCTGGGCACAGTTTGAACATACTTTGCAAAAGTGTTTGATGCCCCGGGAACCTGCAGCCACAGAGCCAGGTCAAAGGATCCCTGGCCATGTCCACTGACTAGCGGAGACTTGAGCGGAGAGCCGGCCATTACTCAGGGTTGGTATGCAGAGGATTCCTTAGCCTGGGGTTGGAGCAGGAGGTGCTCTCTGGAGGTAAGCACAGAGCCAAATTCCCCTGCTGCTAGCTATGCAAATACTGCAGGGAGAGGCCACCTGTAGGATCAGGTCCCTCCAGTGAGGAAGTGTGAACGGCCAGTATTTTGAAATGGGCAAAGAAATGCATTTATAGCAAAATGTGCTAGAAATGTAACTATTATTCATTTGCTATTCAATTCATCAAGTTCATGTAATAAACTATCAAGAAGGACTAAAGACTATATCCATACTAGATCCGAAATCTCATCTTCAGCTCACTTTTCATTCAGTAATCAAGGGCATTTTTGTAAGGCGCTGGGGAGTCTTTAAGCTAACAGGACACAGGCCCTACCCGACAGTAATTGCTTGCTAATGCTCTAATCCCTTTGTAGGAGCTGAATGGTCATGAGTTTTCTCAGTACTGGGTTCAAAGCACTCTGCAAGGGTAAGCATGTATTGCCTGCAGCGCCTTGGCCAGCAGAGGAGACTGATGGTGCTGTCCTTACAGGACACCTGGAGGCCCCAGGCCAGGTGCTATTCTCAGGAATGCACACAGGCCTCAGTAATGGCCTTCCAGTGTCTTGGCTTTAAAACAAAGTTTCTTCGTTTTTCTTCCTTACTTTCCTCATTCCACTTCCTTCTTTTGGCTAGACTCACAGTGTTTTTCAACTTTTTTTTTTTTTAATCTCACGGCACACTTGAACCACGGCACACTTAAATTATGTTGATCAGAAACAAGAGTTAAAAAAAGAATACACTTACTATCCTTTGAACTTCTTTCAAAAGTAATTAATGATCTTTAAAAATTTCATGGCAAACCTAAGATCCTCTCATGGCACACCACTGTGCCGCGGCACCCTGGTTGAAAATCACTGGGCTAGAGCCTGTGCCGGCCCTGCATTTCTGGGTGCTCAGCCCATTCTTGTTTTGGGCTTATGCTGTGTTACTGTTTGGGGGGGAAATACTATGTTATCAGTTCATGATATTATGTTGGGGATGAAAGTATGTCGGGCAAAAAAAATCTTACTTATTACAACTCAGAGGGACTCCAGCTAGCAAACATAAGCGGCACAACCTGGCATTAATGATTGTACCCTTAATGATCCCCCAACAATAAACAAAAATATTAAAAATAAGGTATTACAACTCAACAATGAAAAGCCAGCTAGGCCAATTAAAAAATTGGTAAAGGGGGCGGTGCCTGTGGCTCAAAAGGGTAGGGTGTTGGCCCCATATGCCAGAGGTGGCGGGTTCAAACCCAGCCCGGGTCAAAAACTGCAAAAGAAAAAAAAATTGGTAAAGGATTTGAATAGACATTTTTTTTTTTTTTTTTTTTTTTTGAGACAGAGCCTCAAGCTGTCCCCCTGGGTAGAGTGCCGTGGCACTACAGCTCACAGCAACCTCCAACTCCTGGGCTCAAGCGAGTCTCCCGCCTCCGCCTCCCAAGTAGCTGGGACCACAGGCGCCCGCCACAACGCCCGGCTATTTTTTGGTTGCAGCCATCATTGTTGTTTGGCGGGTCCGGGCTGGGGATTCGAACCCGCCACCTTAGGTGTACGTGGCTGGCGCCTTAGCCGGTTGAGCTATAGGCGCCGAGCCGACATTTTTACCAAAAAAGATACAATATACAAATGGCCAGAAGTGCATGAAAAGATGCTCCACGTCATTAGTCCTTAGGGAAATGCAAATGGAAACCATGATGAGATATCCCGTCACACCCAGTAGTTTGACTATCACTTAAACTGGACAGTGACAAGTATTGGCAAGGAGGTAGAGAGATTGGAACCCTCACATCTTGGTGGTAGGAGTGTAAAATAGAACAGTTACAGTGGAAATAAGTTTGGTGGGTCCTCAAAAAGTTAAACAGAGTTAACATGTGACCCAGCAATCTAAATATAGTTGGGTATATATACTCCCAAAGTAATTAAAAATGTATGTTTACACAGAACTTGTACACAAATATCCACATCAGCATTGTTCTTAATAGCCAAAAGTGTAAATGACCCCATGTCCATTAACTGCAGAACAGAGTGTGGTCTGTGGGGTAGGGAAGGGTTTGGGCTTCCTCACCCACGGGAAGGCGCCTTTCACTTCTAGAGAACCGTAATGGGGTGCAGTGAAGCCATGCTGCCTGGCATGTTGCGACTTCTGTTCTCCTGGGTATAAAGGTGCACAGGACCTTTCTCCTGCGCGGACTGTGGATCACAGATGGTAATGTGTAACTTAGCTCCCTGGCCGCCGGGAGCTGGGGTGGACCTTTTACTAACATAGCTTCTCGGCCACCCGGGAGCTGAATGAATCATGTTACACCGCCCTCCATGCCTGAGCTTCTCTCCTGTCTGGCTGAGTTAGAACACTGGCATTACACCGTCTATCCGTACAATGGGATGTCACTCAGTCCTAAAAAGGAATGAAGCACAGACATGTGCCACAATGTGACCCTCAGAAACACAGTGCTAAGCAAGAGAAGCCAGGTGCAAAAGGCCACCACTGCAGACCACTCTCTAATATAAAACGCCCGAAGCAGGCAGGGCCACAGAGAGGGAAAGCAGGTTAGGGGCTGGCGGGGACGGGTGAGGTGAGAACAGGGAGTCTCTGCTAATGGCTCCAGGGCTTCTTTCTGGAGTGATGAGAGAATGCTGGAATTAGATGATGGTGATAGTTATACAGCCTTATGAATATACAAAAAAACCAATGAATGGATCATTTCGAATGGGCTTTTATGGTGTGTGAACTATGTATCTCAATTAAAAAAAATGTAACTGTGTTCTTTACCCTACCTGAAGAGGGACCATTTTCATACTATATGGAGTTTGATAGAAGTTCTAGTTTGTTCTGTAACCCCTACTCACAAATACACAGGGAATGGGGAATGGGACTCCTTAGAAACTATGCACCACTGTCATCCTCAAAAAAAAAAAAAAAAAAAAAGTATGAGGTGGCACGGCTGGTGTCCTATCCAAGAGGCCAGCTGAGCAGTGAGCCCCAGGCCAGGCACTTCCTGCTCCTGAGACAAGCAGCTCCCCTGACCGCTCAGACTGTGATTTTCCTCACGTGAAAATGCTGCAGTAGCTAATCGCCAATGGTTCTCTCTCTGCTCCACTATCTGGGCTGATATACTCATCTTATTCTCCCCCCTTCCTTGGGCATCCTTTAGGACGTGATTTGGGAGATGCTGATGTATGTCAAAGACTGTGTCACTGTGTATTGCTGATGGCGGATCTCCCCGCTGTCTCTGCTACACGACGCCTTTACATCCCCCTTCTCTCGCCCTCCTCGGCATACTGCCCAAGCTGCTGTGGCCTCTCCTGTGCCTCTGTGCTTGAATCTGTTTGCTTTTGTGAGCATAATTCAAGTTATTTGTCCCACAGCCCCCACCCCTTCTATTTCCACAGAGCCCTCTGCCTCTCAGGCCAATTTTAATTAGATCTGGTGACATCAGCGTTCCTCAGAATGGGGAGCAGGTGGGAAGCTTTGCTCATCCTCAGTGCCAGTCAGGACTCACCATTGCTCAGCATGGGCTGGGGACCCCCTGGGCCATGTATAGAGTAGACTCACCAGCCGTTCTTGGGCTCTACAGCCATAGGTGTGGCTCTGTCCCCAAACTTCACCATTGCCCACACCTGTCCCCATGTATGCACGAGCATGAACAGAGTCTCTGTGTGCTCCTGGGGGCCTGGAAGTGGGTGACTATATCCACCTGTATGTAGGTCATTGTTTGGACCAAGGTCACAGTGGCCTGCTAGTTGCCATGTGACTTGGGAATGCAGGGTGAGACCCAGGCTGCCTACCTCTATCTCTGCCACTGCAAGAGTTAATTCATAAAAATATGCCAAAAATGGGAACTGAAAGCAGATGCTTGTTAAGTTCTGCAGCTTGGCCTAATCACTGTCATCAGGACATGGCTGCTAGGGTTGGTGGGGAGAGGCAGTCCTTCATTTATTAAACGTGGAGGGCCGGAGTTGGGGGCCAAATGTTTGGTTCTCACTTGTTTAAATCAGTAAGTGTTGACTGAGGCTGGCGGGAGGGGAGAGGACAAAGAACCTGCATTTCCTAATAGAAACTTGCTGAAAGTGGCTCAGACCTGGAGGGGGGATGTGTCGGAGTAAAAGAGCAAAGGAGACTGGGTTGGGACAGGCATTCTTGGGAAGTGGCAGTGCCAGCGTCCAGCCAGGCATCACCTGACTCGTGCTTTTCAGGACTGGTTAAGGAATCAGCCTGGTGTCTTTTCTGGAGGCTACACACTGCCCTGGCTATAGGGCTCTTGCATGAGTGGCCTACCACAAGCTTAGACATCTGTCCAGGACCAGATCTGCCCCCAGACAGTGCCGGTCCTGTTCTCCGTCTAGGACAGGTGAGTCACAAACTGTGGAGTCCTCACAGCCTGCTAATGTCCCCCCTCAGAAACACCCCAACATCTAAAACTCTTACCCTCTCCTAGTTCCCCAATTCTGCAGCCCAGTGAGTCACTCTGTGATGGCCAAATGACCACAGGATCCTCTGAGCAGCCCATGGGGGAAGCTTCTTACCCACACCATCAATCCCCCATCGCTAAGAGAAGAATGATTATCCCCTCCGTGCTCTGGGGCCCGTGGGGCTGGAGGATGGGGTGTGCTCTCTCATGGTGCTCCGTGTGGGTGCGCTAGGAAAATCTGCTTTCATTTTGTAGTCTATGATTTAGTTCTGTTCACCTGGAAAGACTCAACATGAATAAAACCAGATGCATTTCAAGGAACACTGCCTGGCTCTTTGACAATCCTCTTCCTTCCTCATCAGACTGTCTTCCTGTGCCCGGGGAGGACAGCAGACCTCTCTATCACCGGGAAAATGCACAGTCTCTGTCAACGGCAACAGCTGTTAGTACTGAGACCTGCAGACGCTGGGTAAGGGCGGTGCTGTGTTCTTGATTCAGGCTCGTTAACACATGGGAGAGGTCTGGCATGGCCTCTTGTCTGAATAGGTGTTCCCTGTGAAGGACCCCTGAGTGCCCACTCTGTGCCAAAATGATCCAGCTGTACATATGGGAGGAGAGAGAGACAGAGTGAGAGACAGAGAGACAGACAGTGAGAGAGGAACAGGGGACTGGTTAGAAATCAGCCTGGTGTCTTTTCTGGAGGCTACACACTGCACTGGCTATAGGGCTCCTGCAGGAGTGGCTGACCACAAGCTTAGACACTTGGGCTGCTCATAAAAGAGACAATGAGGGAGACAGAGAAAGAGCCTGGGAGACACAGAGACACAGAAAGACACAAAAATGAGAGATGCTGAAAGCAGCCATGGCCGAGCTTCAGAGGAGCAGGGGGAATGAAAAGTCTTCCATCAGCAGGACCTCCGGGGGGACAGCTGACAGCTGGCTGACCTGACACAAGGACACTCTGTTGCAGTGAAGTGAGACTGCTGGGGGTACAAGCAAGGTCGGAAAACCACACGTGCCCGCTGTCCGCGGCCTGTCAGCATTGCCGGCAGAGGGCACTTAAAATGAGAAAGTCGTGCCCTGGGGACCTCGACTTCCAAGGCAACCGTCACTTCCCGTCAAACGCTCAGTGTGGGTCAGACACATTTGCAGCTCGCAGCACTGAGCCAGTGGGACCCCGCCTGCAGAGGGTACTCAAGTATTTGCTGGCTGGATCTGAGATGGTGAACCACACCGCTGGGCCTTCACTGATTCCTCCCCAGGCAGAAAGGCAGGGCCAGAATTCAGTCCTGTAGTCAGTGCGCATGCCTATGTGTGTAGTCTTAGGGAACCTGCCCTGTCTGAAACCTTGGAGGTGTCAGCTCAAGTCAAATTCAATGGTGCAAACATTTAATGAACACTTGCTTTGTTCATGGAGTGGTGCTGGGTGTTGTCAGGAAAGCCAGACAACGCTGGCTGTGGATGACAATGGGCTCCTTAAGGCAGGGACAAGGTTATACTCATTACCCAAATCAAGTACTTCCTAAGTACCCTTCCAATGGAATGACTCAGACATGTTCACCCCACGGTCAAGAAGCTCAAGTTTACACTGGCGACGGCTCCTTATACTCATGGGCAACCTGCTTTTCATAATATTTGATAGAAACTTCGGGTGGCTCTTCCTAGCACTGCATGGGTGTTTGTTCACAAGTGTGGCCCTGGCTTTTCTTGCTTTGATCTATCCTTGGGACATAGTTGAATCCAGGAATCCAGCCGCAGTCAAACCACTGACCAAAGTATTTATTTAGTGCCCACTTCTAGCCAGGCACTGAGTCTGGGAAGAGGAGAAGGAACTGTGGTGCCAGATCCTACAAGGTGGCTTTATAAACAACACTAGAGAGAAGAGGCTGCCATCAGAGAGGTTGTGCACTGTGCTCAAAGTCACACAGCAAAGCTGGGATCTGAATCTGGAATTGTATGACTCATGGAAATGACAAACAACATATAAGATTCAGTCCCTGGGGAGACAGCACCACATCCCAGAGGTTAGACAGGAAGTCCTGAAGGGGACAGTAAGGGCACCAACAGTTCCCAAGATGGGCTGGGCTGGAGGGACAGAGTGAGACAGGAGCTGAGCCTTAAGGACTTTGAATAAAGGAAAAAAACTGATAATAGCATCTCAGGGCCTGGAACAGCATAGAGTTTGGGCCCAGCCTGGCAGGTCCTGGAGAGAGCTGGTGTGTGCAGGCAGGGGTGAGTCAGACTGAGCGGGGCCACGCCAACACAAAGAAGACCCGTGACCACAGTGAAACCACAAGTCCCAGGGCCTCCCTTTCTCCTGGCCTGGGGCGCTCTGCAGAACTCAGTCCCACGGGAACATGAGCCGCTCCCTCTGGAACCCCGTCTGTGTTTTGGCCCCATTGGCCAGGGCTGGATGCATTGCCTCAAGATTATTTTCAAATGCTGTGTGATATAGACTCGAATCCCAACAGGGAAATGGTTTTTCAAATCGTTCAGGAAAAGCCTTCCTATTGAAAGAATAAAATTTCCTTGAGTCACATAAACAAATCCAACTTGAGGTTTCTTTATAATATTAAGCTACGGGGCTCCTGGGCCTCCACGGTGGCAACTGGATTTCGAGTCTTTCAAGGGATCAGCTCAACAATTCTTGCTGGATCAAAAGCAGCTGTGCCTGCAACATGTGTGAACAGGAGTGGCTGCCCCACCGCGGACGGAGCCTGAGCCCTCGGAGGAGACACGAGGGTGAGGGAGGCATGGCTGGGCCACCCTGCCACACTGCCCTGCTCACTGTGTGGCCTGCCCTCTGTGGGTATCCCTCGTCATTCCTCATGACAAGTAACCATTTTCTCTACTGACCTGCACAATTAAAATTTTTCATAATTTACCAAAGGAAGAGAACTTTAAATTCTTAGGAACATGCCCAGCAAGCATTTGACAAGAACCTACCTATGCTCACTTAGTATTTAATCCTTCAATGTTCAGTTTGTTTCTGGAAGGCTGGACGTTTGTAGGTGAAATCAGTCAGATTTAACAGGCCAGAAACACTTTGAACATTTCAGGAGTTGCACGTGTCTCTACTATGCCCAATTGAAGACGAACAAATGGAAGCAAAATTGTGGAGTCTGTCTCATAAACGGTTCCATCCTCAACACCCAGCAAGCATGTCTTCAACCCTGCTCTGCTCTGCTCTGAGGGGTCACTGAACAGCAAGGACTTGGTGGGAGACAAAACAGCTTGGATGTGGTCCAGGTCCCTGAGACCTCCCAACCTGTTTTCCCCATAATTCAGACAGGAGGCCACTCCTGAAATTCCCTCCCTTTCTTTCCTTCTCTCTCATTCTTTTTTTTTTTTTTTTTTTTCAAGACAGAGTCTTGCTTGTTGCCTAGGTTAGAGTGTAGATATCATCACAGATCATGCAGCCTCCAATTCCTGGGCTCAAGTGATCCTCCTGCCTCAGCCTCCTGAGTAGCTACAGATGCACGCCCTCACCTGGCTAATTTCCCTTCCCTTCCGTTCCCCTCCCCATTCCTCTCCTTTCCTTTCCTCTTCTCTCTTTTCTTCATTCTCTTCCTTCTTTCTTCTTCTTCTTTTTTTTTTTTTTTTGTAGAGACAGGGTCTTGAAATGTTGCCCAGGCTGGTCTCCATCTCCTGGTGTCCAGTAATCCTCCCACCTCAGGCTTCCAAAGGGCCAGGATTACAGGCGTCCCTTTCTTTTTTTCCCCTCTGCTTTGTCTTTTGCTTTGCTTTCCTGTTCCTTCCGTGTCCTTCATCTTATCAGCTGAAGTTTATTCCTCAGTTCTGATAGAAAATTTAGGCTCTCAGTAATTCCCCACCCTTTCAGGTATGTAAAGAAATAAATGTTGCCTAAATAGAACAAGTAGGAGCTCTGGAGCCATGGGACAGGTTTGGCCACAGCCGTGTGGACCTTCCAGCCTTCCTTCTGGTTGAAGGACCCTGGTTGTGGGTGCTGAAGGGAGATTGTGGGCTGCACCTGAGGCCCCCCCCCCCCCGGGAGACAGTGCAGTATTCCACCCAGCGTCCTGGTTACCGTCTGACCATGGAAGCTGGACAACACAGCAGGCTGGGATCCAGGCTGCAGTCAGCCAGAGGCTTGCTCGGCAAGCCTCCTTTAACTCTGGGGAGTTACATATTGGTGTTGTGGTTATGGAACAACAGGAGAGGGATTTGTGCTGGATAAGTGAGTAGAATAAAAACGTCTAAATTTCATCTTTTCTTTGTGTATTTTCACCTCTGCCAAATTCTTGGAATTCTTAAGACTTACGATTTTATGTGCTTTTCATTTCCTTTTGAATCTGGACCATCATTTAAACGTCTTTTGAGGAAATCCTAACCTATGGAAGCATCCTGGAAAACTGTGAAAAAATATTAGGGTTATTCCACACACACACCTGGAGGCTTTTAAGAGATTTTTGATTCCCAGGCTTCAGTTCATGGCTGATGGATCACAGATTCAAGTGGGTATATCTTACGAACTCACTACATCCCTTGGAAAAGGTATTTTATTAAGAGCAATTTTAAATGTTAAAAAATTATTATTTCATTGGCATCATGTCTACAGTACTTTTTAATGAGAGAGCAAGAATGCCATGGTTTGGATATTTGGCAATGGGCACACCTTTCAAGGGCAAGAGTCCCAGCAGAGCTGTCCCCCTGGCTCGGAGCACACCGTGGTATCCCAGATTCCCAACCGTGTAAGGTGTTCAGTTCTGATCTTCAGTTTTATTACAATCCACCCATGGCAACCTGTGTGGTCTGAGCAGGCACAACTCCCCTCTCAGGTCCTCTGCTTGCTGTCCAGGGA